CAAAACCATAGCTAATAGCTGAATGTTGCAAAACAGTAGCTAACAGCCAAATGTGACAAAACCATAGCTAATAGCTGAATGTTGCAAAACAGTAGCTAACAGCTAAAAAGTTGCAAAACTGTTGTTAAACGCTAAATGTGACAAAACTGTAGCTAATACCTAGTGTTGCTAAACAGTAGCTAACAGCTAAATGTGGCAAAAGTATATTAAGGCTAATTTAAATGTGCAAATTAGATAAAATCACGTTTCATTAACTAAAAGCTAAATATGGCAAAATATTAAACTTTAACAATATGTAGCTGAAAGCTAAATGTAGCAAAACTGTGGAACCAATAATTAACAAAACAGTAGTTATACTAAATGTGTCAAAACTTTAACTAAAAGACAAATTTGCTTAACAGTAGCTAAAATTTAAGGGCTGCAGACTTGTGATCTTGAAGCCGCAGGTTTTAGCCCAGATTGTGTAGCGAAGGGCATCGGGTGTAAAACTCGTGGGAGTTGAATCGCCGTGGTGACCCCCACAGAGGGAAGCAGCTGAAAGAACAGGAAGTAGTTAAATGCTAAATGAAGCAAACCCACAGCTAAAAGCTAAATGTAGCAAACCTGAACATAGAATGTTTGCTGAAGTAGATTTCAGACGAGAAGGTTTTTGAAGGAATTAAAAATATCTTGACGTATTTTATGGGGAAAGTTTAGTAAATTAAATTAAATTAAAATGTAATTTACAAATGCAAAAGATCAAAGCACACTATTCTTAATTGAGTCTATTTGATGTGTGAATAATTAGTTGTTGTTTCTTTTGCTAATTCTTATTATCTATAAACATGATGTGTATTATTGATATTGCCAGTTTTAAATGTTTTGGTTTCATCTGTGAGCCTTTTGTTTGTGTAAACGAACGTTTCTTATGATCTCATTTTTCAGACGCCTCACCTGAATGATCCTGAGCTCACTTTGTGTTTAATCTTAATTTAATTTTTCAGGTTCAGTGTCACAGCTACACGGGCTACTGTTGGTGTGTGACTCCTAACGGCCGGCCCATCAGCGGCTCAGCAGTGGCCAATAAGAAACCTCGATGCCAAGGTGGGTGGCGTGTGGCGTTTGGGCGCCGTCATTTTGTTTAACTCTGATAATAAATATAATTCAAAACACTGGAGCACGGCATTGCAGATTTGTGAGGGGTCAGATTTTATTTTCAGTCCAGTACTTGGAACGAAAAATTAAATTGAGCAAAATGGCAGCTGAAAGCTGCAGAAATTTAACTAAATTATAAATGTGGCAAAACAATAGCTTAATGTGGCAAAAAGGCAGCTAAAAGTAGCAAAGGGGTAGCTAAAATCTGTAAGTGGCAAAATGATAGCTAAGAGCCAAATGTAGCAAAATTGTGCACAAGAGAGGCAGAACGCTAACTATATGCTAAATGTGGCAAAATGGCAACAAGATGCTTTAAGTGGTAAAACGGCAGCTAAAGGCTGAAAGTGGCAAATGGCAGCTAAACGTAACAAAGGGGTAGCTAAAATTTGTAAGTGGCAAAATGATAGCTAAAAGCTAAATGTAGTAAAATTGTGTATAAAAGAGGCAGAATGCTAACTACTGTATATGCTAAATGTGGCAAAATGGCAGCAAAGTGCTTTAAATGGCAAAATGGCAGCTAAAAGCGGCAAATGCAGCTAAAAGTAGGAAAAGGGTAGCTAAAAACTGTAAGTGGCAAAATGATAGCTAAGAGCCAAATGTAGCAAAATTGTGCACAAGAGAGGCAGAACGCTAACTATATGCTAAATGTGGCAAAATGGCAACAAGATGCTTTAAGTGGCAAAACGGCAGCTAAAGGCTGAAAGTGGCAAATGGCAGCTAAACGTAGCAAAGGGGTAGCTAAAATTTGTAAGTGGCAAAATGATAGCTAAAAGCTAAATGTAGTAAAATTGTGTATAAAAGAGGCAGAATGCTAACTACTGTATATGCTAAATGTGGCAAAATGGCAGCAAAGTGCTTTAAATGGCAAAATGGCAGCTAAAAGCGGCAAATGCAGCTAAAGTAGGAAAAGAGTAGCTAAAAACTGTAAGTGGCAAAATGATAGCTAAAAGCTAAATATAGAAAAACTCTGTATAAAAGAGGCAGAATTCTAACTATATGCCAAATGTGGCAAAACAGCAGCTTAAGGCTAAAAGTGGCAAAATGGCAGCTAAAAGTAGCAAAGGGGTAGCTAAAATCTGTGTGGCAAAACGGTAGCTAAAAGCTAAAAGTGGTTGCTTGTAGTAAGGACTAGCATAAAAGCCAGAAAAGGTTTTTAGGTTGTTGTTTTTTTTTTACTTGGACAAATTTCAATGTGATTCTACGATGCATTTTATTTTAAATAAAGTTAAATATTTCGAAAAGTATAATAGAAAAACAAAAGTCATGGCATCGATCTCCTGAATGAGCAGAACGTTTTGAGACATGAATGACTAAAATAACAAAGTATGTGGAAGTAGCTTGATTTAAAATTCCAAATCTGGAAAACGACATGAACGCAGACTGCGTTTGAACAACTATGTAAAAATTAACGAAGCACAAAAACACAAAACACTTACTGTAGTTTAGTCATCAGCTAAATTATTTTAGTTTTTGTCCCACTCAGACCATCAATCTGGACAGAATTACATTTCTCCAGAAGTGATGTCACTCAAGCAGCTAGGTACAACATATATGTTGTTATTAACCTGGACACAGAACCACAAATCAAACAGTCTGAACTATCAGTCTGGCAGATGTAAATAAAGTCCTTATATTTAATGTTTGGCGTCAACATAAAATCTTGACTGATTTTATCATGATTGTCTTTTTTTTTTTAGGATCAAGACACGACAAACTGACGACCAAAGCGCCGCGTAAAGAAGGTGAGAGTTGAACTGAAACACGACGCGGTCTCGGGAACACGTCGACTCTTTGTGAACGCGTGTTTAGTCTTACTGCCGTAACGTCAGCTCTTTGGCTCAAACGCTCTTGGTTGTTGACTTAGCGTGTACAAATATGGGCTTGTGCAACTCGGTTCAGTTGTGACCACGGCACACCATGATGAATACCCCTTAAGCTCATTGAAAGGAGCCAGCTAACCACACAAAGCAAACCGGAGGGGTACGTTGTGATCAGGTCACTGAAATGTAAAGAAGATGTTTTCATTGTACTGGAAGTGATCCAGTCGGAGGAACTGACACGGTGCTGTCAAAATAAATCATGTTGCAGGAGTTATGTTTGTTGTCTCTCGTGTTTTTAAGTATATTTGCTGGGGGAGGGGGGGCATATTGGGTTACAAGGTACCTAGAACCTAGGTACCTACAAACATAGCTAGTACTTACAAGGTATGTATCGGGTACTTGACTGATAATGAGTACATAACAAGTACATATCAGGTATGTACACCAAGTACCTGGAATGTACCTGAAACTTGGAATGGAAAGTACCAGGTTCATACCCTACAAATGCAAGGTATGTATCTATTTACAGGGTACTTATTTACCAGCCATGTACCAGTTTTACCTGATACTTACCATATGTGAACTAGACAAGTACCTTGTACATACACTATACGTTATTGCATTACTTACCTGACAAATAAGAGCTAATTGCCAGGTGTGTTCCAGGTTGTTTTGTGTTTTAGTATCATGATGTCCATTTTCAGTACCTAACTTTAAAGATGGAATTCAACAAAGGTTTGTGCACAAATTTTAAGACAAATTTATCTTGTCTAATCATCTCATCATTTCCTTTTTCAGCTTGTTTCTTTTTCAGCAGAAGAGTCAAAAAGAGTCAAGTCAGTGGCCACATATTAACCTTTCTTCAGCAAATTCCAACCCTCTTCCAGTTACACATTTCAGTAGCAATACCCAATACAGCCCAGTAATTATTATGTACGTACCTGGTACTGACAAGGTATGTGCCTGGTAACCTACACTGGTACTTACATTGAAAGAAAAGACTTATCTTGTAAATAAGAGGATATGCACCTGGTTCTTACTAGGTAAGTACTCGGTCCTTATCTGGTATGCACTTGGTACTTAACCAGTGTGTACCTGGTACCTATAAGGGTATTTACAGGGAATAAAGCTGTATTATAAAGTGACTTGTTAGGCTGTGCTTACTAATTTTGTATCTAGAACTTAAGTGTATGTATCTGGTACCTACAGTGTGTGTACATACAGGAGACATGCCTGGTACCTACAAAGTACTTCCCAGGATCAGGGCTGTAATATGAAATTACTTGTTACACTGTTTTTATTGTGTATGTACCTAGCACCTATAGTGTACCAACTCTGTAAGTAGGAGGTACATACCCTGTAAGTACTGAAGAATCCACCAGCAGTCGCATGCCGAAGTGTCCCTGGGCAAGACACTGAACCCCTCGTTGCTTCCGATGTGCATCCCACCATGTATAAATGTGATAAAGCTCTGATTAGTCTCTTTAGAATGGTTTGTTCAATTAGCTTTGCAGAGATCTAGTAGAGTGCTGTATGAATGGGTAAATGAGGACACGGATTGTAGTGTAAAGAGCTTTGAGCATCTTGATAAGCTAGAAAGGTGCTATACAAGTACAGTCCATTTAAGTGCCTAGTACTTACAGGAGACATGCCTGGTACCTACAAGGTCCTTCCCAGGACCAGGACTGTAATATGAAATGACTTGTTACACTGTTTTTATCCGGTATGTACATGGCATTTATAATGTACCAACCCTGCACCAGGTACATACCTAGGGCTGGACAATAATTTGATATATGTCACAATATACTTTTATTCAACAACGATATGAGTTTTAAGCACATTTTCGATATTTCGATACGATTACAGCGTTTCACTGACGCATTTCTTTTTCTGCTCAGGTTGAAGCGGCAGCTTCAGTTTCAACTCGGACAGAAAAAGCCGCAACACAACTACGTAAATGCGTGGTGACGTAGACGTTACACAGAGCTCGAGTCCAGAAGGTGTTGGTGGTAGCAGGCTACGCTAATCTCCAACGCGCGTTAAGTTTTTGCTTCAAAATGAGCGCCCATGGCCGTCAGAATGTGACTGAACAAGCTTTCACAAGCAAAGAGAAAGCAGATGACATAACTGATTAGTTAACTGCATAACTTGTTCCACTCGATAGAATATGCCGAGAGTCCGAAGATGAAGAACAATAAAAGTTTGAGCCAACGTGTCCCTGAAACAACACCCCCAGCTGTATCAAAAAAGAAACAACATAAATAGCATAACCCATGCAGCAAACGTGTGCGTTATGTTGTTGTTTAAAGTTAAAACTATTAATATTGACAAAGTTGAGAGTTTTATGTTTATTTGATGGCGATTTCAATTTTTTTGTAGGCTAAATACAAATAAAAGGTGAACATTAATTTATTTGCACAGTTTGTACAGTTTTTCTGAGGCTTTTATATTGTTTATGTTGATATCTAATTAAATCGTTATTGACCGAAATTAAGAAATACATCGTGACAAAAATTTTGGCCATATCGGCCAGCCCTATACATACCCAGTAAGTACCAAGTACATACCCAGTAAGTGAAGTAGTAAGTAAGTAAGTGCTATGTGTCGTCATCATTGTGTTCCCATACAATGACAAAATTAGTTCTCTGCATTTAACCCATCATACGTGAGATACAACCAGGTGGAGCAGTGGGCAACTATGTAAGTGCCCTGGGAGCAATTAGGGATTAGGTGTCTTGCTCAGGGACGCCACAACATGTGGGCATGGCGGGGAGTCAGACTGCGACTTTCAGGTCTCAGGTCGGCTGCCCTACCTCTACACCATCTTAGCCCCCAACCCTGCACCAGGTACATACCCAGTAAGTACCAGGTACATATCCAGTAAGTACCAGGTACATATCCAGTAAGTACCAGGCTGTATTACTGTCTGTATTGCTAACATTTTCCTCTGACTCCACTTTAGATATTGTATACTTTTGCCCAATTTGTTTAGCTGATGTGATTCTAATGTTCACATAGACCGCAATTTAGATTTATTCTGATTGATTCCGTATGTGTTTGGGTTTTTATGAGAGAGAAAGTGCATATACGTTGCCTTTCTGTTTGCCACATAGGTTATTCTTGTCAGTGTGACTTGTGCGTCTTTCCCTACTGTAAACAACCATGGTGTCTGTCATAGCCAAGTTGCTGCACATACATCAACGGGAAACACAAGAAACTGAGGAAGGAGGAGGAAAAATGTTGGGAGATGGGGAGGACGGGAGGTGACGGGGGTGGATTGTGGTTCAATCCGAGCTGCTTGGATAAACAGGGCGGTGAAAAGCAGAATAAACTGTAGGTTTGTGGCATGCCGGCTCTGAAAACAGCTGGGATTGCATCAATATTTGGGTTCAAAAGAAGCCAACTGGTCCAGTTTTATGACAGCGTTTTATTCGCTTTTATTATCAGAATATAGGCAGTTAGTGCATTTATGTTGGTTGACTTAACAATTATTTTTTCACAGGCTGGACTCATGCTGCTAATGACTGACAAACGGCAGTAAAACTGATGCCTTCTGACCACAAATTGCACAGGGGTTTCCTGGCAGATGTTAAAAGAGGTGTTAGAGAGTCAAGTAAAAGGCCACAAAGTAAAGATCATCATTAGTGGTTTATCATGAACCCAAATCACAAGTACATTTTTAAATGGCATTTCCATCGTCCAAGTGAGCAGAATAAAAGCATGTTTGACTGTAAGTCACACTGACGACGAGTTTAACCCACCCCATACGTGTGAGAAGATGAATGGATGGCCTGGGAACCTGGCATTTAATGTAAGCTTGAGTTTTCAGTAAGAGTTTATTGCTAACTAATGTCTCCCAGTTACTAGATGCCTTGTCTCCAACACATCAAGTCATAAAGCTGAAGCTTGAAGCCAAGACTTCATGGTTCTGGATCTCTTAGAGACCACTTGGTGAACGGTATTTGTAAGGGAGTTTCCTCAATGTTTTCTGGGGATCCTAATTTTCAGCTTTATGACTTTATGAGTTTAATCCACCCACAACGTGTGAGAAGATGAATGGTTGGCCTGGGAACAACATAGTTAGTGTATGTCCAAGGTACTTGTCTTGTACACACATGTAAGTACCAGGTAGAACTGGTACATACCTGGTAAGTAAGTACCCTGTAAATACCAGAAACATACCTTGCATTTATAGGGTATAAACCTGGTACTTTCCATTCAAGTTTCAGGTACATTCCTGGTACTTACAGTATACACACCTTGTATGTACTTAGTAAGTATTAAGTATTTATCAATCAGACACCAGGTACATGCTTCGTAAGTACTAGCTATGTTGGTAGGTACCTAGGTACTAGGTACCTTGTAAGTACTTATTTAAGTTCCTAATTTTCTTGCCTTTCGCAGCCTTATTTCGCTTGAACTTGAAAAAATTGACGTGGCAACTATTCTTTCAAAATAGTCCGTTTTGGCAGCCATCTTGAAGCTCAGTCCATGAGAGAAAATGTTTTTGGCTAAAAATACAACAACAATAATTTTTATTGAAAACTGCTGCTAATCTACCAGTTCTCATTTTATAAGTGTACCACGGTAGAACAAATCCTAGATGTGGGGATGGCTTAGAACAGGGTGCTGAACTCAGTTACAAATGGGGGCCAAAAGTAAAAACTTGGTCCAACTTCAATCAATACATTAACTCGTTAGAAACGAGACATCTTTTCTTGGTTTCAAGAGTTTCATTGGTCTCATTCAATGTTCTCTGTTGTTCTTTCCACATAAAAATTAAAAAATAACTGACAATTTCACATTTTTTGGGTGGCTTCAAAAAAGTTCAACTGTCATGAGAAGTCTACGCTGAATAAAGTGTACTTGGTTTTAAAGCAAAATGAAAGGCGACAAAAACATATTGTGTTTAACATCATCTTGAGGGCCAGGTAAAATGTCTGCAAGGACTGCACTTGGCCCTCAGGCCTCGAGTTTTACACATATGGTTGAGAAGGTGCATATGACGTGGACAGTTGTGGGCAACAAAATAATGTGTCATGCAGGTACAGTTTTGTAAATTGTGCACACAAAAATATGCTATAATTAAAATATATATAAAAAAAAAAGCATCTGAAACAGCAGTCACATGGGTTGTGGTTGAATTCAGTAAGACTTCAATAGCAAGTTTGCCTATTTTCTCACAAACTCGTCTCAGACTGTCCAAGCCCAGTGAGATACCCCCATAAAGGTTCTTCACACCCACTGGAATAGGTTTTCAGCCTGAGATGTTCTTTCCTCATCTTCCAGTTCTTCTCACAGCTCAAATACAGATGGTAATTTTTATTTTTTCACATACTTTAAACAGCCTTTATCCTATAATCAAATGATGAAATAAAACCAACTATAACTGTTCCTGTTCTTCTTTAACTCACCTCAATTTGCCCTTTTTAGCAGACCCTCCTATGACCACATGATTTATGAAACCACTACACCATACTCCCGTTTTCCTCTGCAAGTCTCCTTTTTCAAACTTCCTGTATCAATTTACATTTCATTGTTTCTCTCTACCATCTTTCTTGACCGGGCAACGTGCAAAATCTCACGCAGTTAAAGTTCTCTGATCAAAACCAACTCTTGTAATTGTAGTCTCCTTGCAAATCTTCTCCATTCTAAATGCAGATGAGACCGTCACCGCCATGGTTCCACAGCCGGTCACAGAAGAAGAAGGTGAGCTCTTATGAAATGGTCTGTAAAAATAAAAAAATTACTGTCTGTGTTTATTAAGATGCCACTGACTGTGTCAGAAGTTTTATAGAGAAACCAAAATTTAGTCTTAGGAACATTCAATTCTGAGCTCAGAAATCATTAACAGACCTGCAAAAGGAATTTTGGAGCAGGATCAGGAGGTCATGGCCTCCTCCTGAAAGCCAAAGCATGCAGACATGATGGCAGGAAGACTGGTCCATGGAACCTGAGGGTTTGCAGAATACAAACAACTGAAACTACAACTCATTGTGCAGTGTCTACAACCAGACAGCAAGTTGAGATGGGAGGCCTGTGAAACTAGGCAGGGTGATTAGGTGGAGCAGATCAGGAAAGACTCCACACCATGACCACATTTGTAATCTGAGGGGTCTAGGGAGAGAGAAGACCCTGGCTAGTTGGATAACGAGATGCCACAACTGTCGGAACAATCAGGCACATGACCGAAATCATAAAAAAATGGCAACGGAACAGAAAGGACAGAGGAAAGCCAAAGAGGAGATATACGTGTGCAGTTAGAGAGGACATGGAGGTAGTTGGAGTGAGGACAGAGGACAGAGTAAGATGGAGAAGGATGACTCACTGGGGTAACCCCTGAAGAGGGAAAAGCCGAAAGAAGAAGAAGGTTCTGATCGTTTCACTCCGCCTGCCCTCTTAGAAATAAATGAGCTAAACAAGGAGCCCCCGTCAAAGATTAGATCAAAAGGCAAGATATACACTCAGACCAAATGTGCAACAAAAAGATTAAAAGTTCCCCTGGCTGTGGGAAGTTTGAACAATTATATGAAGTTTGCAGCTTAAGGAAAGCATTCAACAATGGTGGTTGTGACTGTGTTACCATTTGCGGGAGGCCGACCCACGGCAAAGTTTAAACCAGAGGTTTGTGTGACCATAGATGTACTTGGAGTTAGCCATATCCTGAGTGCAGGCTGGAACAGGAAGCAACAAAGCACTTATTGATGATTGCCATGGATGGCAACCAGACTGTTGTCAAAGGAAACCCAAAGAGTGGTTAGAACTTGGGTAGCGGGTTAGGCAGAAGGGGAGGGGTGTTCATTGAAGAACCATAGGAAAAAGTGAGGGACAAATTAAACAGATGCTGTACGAAAAGTCCTCATGGATTCAAATTTGGGCAAAGGAGGTTATTGGAGTTGCTTCGTCCATCTTTCTTTATGTCATTGGTGAGAAAAGGCTAGAATCGCATCTGTAGACTGAATCTGGGGCAGGAGGGTGGTCCTGATGTGGAGGGGGACACAGACTCAAAAACACCATCAAGATGTCCTAAAAAGGAAGAGAGATTTTTCGTCCAATAGTATCCAGCTTAAAAAGAAAGAAGTGAAAGATTTTTACAATAATATTAAAAAGTGAACAATGTTTTCAAACACAAATTAACTACTTGCCTTTTATGTTAAATTGATACTGAGGCTTGAAGTGACTAAATTGTTTTGAAGTACAGAAGCTTCAGAAGTACCTGTTTTGGCTCAGATGACGTGCACGTGGGTTCTGGACTCTTGGAAATAAATCTCTCTTTGTTTTTCAGAAATCACGTCCCAGTCCCCGTCTCTGTGGATGGAACGGGAACGCAGCCGGCAGAACAGAACCAGAGCATCTCGTGAGTTTAAAACCAGGGCGGGCGAGTTTTTGCAAACCTTTAGCCGATGGTCCACTTTGTGCTCGGGTTACTTACGCAAACAATCAGTTATACTTTGAGTCTGTTCCTGTCTTTTAAGGACAATGAAAGCAATAAGTCTTGGTTTTTATAGTGCAACTTCACTGTGGTTTCAGCATCGCAACAAGTCTGTAATTATTATCACATGGCATAAACACAGGATCTCCCATTCTTCTCTTCTTTACACACGTGCATGTTTGTCTTTTTATCCCTTCTTTGCTCGTAGGCGGAGAAAAAAGTTGCATTTCATATTTTAGGCAGGCTCAAAGATGAAAACCTTCTGTGCTTGTGTGGGTTTGAGCGTGAATTCCATTATCATAATTTACAACCCAAAAAAAAAGCCTGAAAAATGCAGCATTGATGGTTTTGATTACCATATATTATTTGAGGCAATGGGGTGAGAAAAAAAAAACAACCTTCCAGCTCCTACAGAGAGTCCATGCAGAAGAACTGGAGCAAAGAGACTTGGTATAGAAAGCAGGGAAGCGGTTGATTTGGTGTCTTCTGAGCCGGTAAAGACCTTTGGTGGAAACAAACAGCGACAGAATATCCATAATCCACAGCAGCATCTGAGCCTCGAGGCTGAAGAGCAAGACAGTTTAGAAATAAAAGCTCCTTCTTCCAGTCCTGATTTTAATGCTCTTATCTTTGTCAGAGAATTGCATGGCATAGAAGAAGAAAAGGAAAAATGGTTTGATTGGTTCCTGCTGAAGTTGAACTGAATCCCATCTCTATCCCTTCAAGAATCTATCCCACAGTCCACGTAGGGAATTTTAAACATGTCAACAAACAGAATATTACTGTATTTAACAAAAGTGGGGGTTCCTGAAGGTAAGCTTAAGGGACTGTCTTTGTCTTGTCTGTTTCTCCCACAAAGGGCAGAGGAGTGTCCAACTATTTGCCTGACTTAAGGCAGTGCCATGAGTTGAAGTAGCATTCAACACACACCACCATCCTCCAATGTGTTTACCTCATGTTTTATGTTGCAGCATAAGAAAGTGGGGAGAGATCATCTGCTTTAATTTTTCTTTTAAAATGTGTTGGTCAAGACAGATTAGAAATAATTCTAACTGAGGCTTTGATGATTTGGGAATAGAGTTTTATGAGCCTACAAGCAGGATGTTTCTGAAACAGGGTTTCAGAGTGAGTGCAACAATCTTGAAACGCCACTGTTGTGTGGACAGCCGATGTGATACATCCACCGCTAATCTAACCTACAAACTTGATTTTGCCCCCTGGGATTAACAAAACATCCATCCATCCATCAACGGTATCTATCCATCTACGGTATCAATCAACATATGGTATCCATTTACCTATCTACAGTATCTATCTACAGTATCTATCTATGGTATCCATGTATCCATCTATCCATCCACCTAGTTGTCTATGGTATCTGCCTATCTATGGTATCTATATCTACAGTATCTATTTATGGTATCTATCTACGGTATCTGTCTGTCTGTTTGTCCGTCTATCTCAAACATGACGCATGCTTTTGTGCAGCAAATGAGAGTGTCTTAACTATAGCAAAACCTTTTTATCCTGTATTACTTAAATGAAAAGTTTGTTGAGCATTAAACAGTCCTTAAATAGATCAGAACAAAAACCCTAATCATCTAAGACCTGAAAGATTGATCTGTCAAAACAAGCCAAACCAACACTGCAGAAAATGGACTACATTTTACATTGAGTATACATTTTGAAAATGTGAAAAATAAGAATGGCTGTTAAAGAGTGCCAGTTGTGCATAAGTAATTCACTATTATAGCATTTTGAAGACAACTCCTCTTCAGTTGCCCCTTGCTGGGTATTGAAAAGTAGCTAATAAGTCCAAGTGTTTATATAATAACTCCCAGTCAACATTGTCCTGTACTTATGTGGTCTTGTGGTTTAATGCAACACAAAGCAGAAGTTATTTTTCATTGTCAATCTTCTAAATGGATTCAGGTCTTGTTTTTGTATTCACCGTCCTTGTCTTGGCCTTCTGGAGGTGCTTACAGTTCCAACCATAGACTACAGTTTAACAGTCTTATATATAGATGTGGTTCCTACACAATTTGTAAGCTTCCTGCTTCATATCTTGTTTCCTGTTTTTGGTGTGTTTTTGGCAGGGTTACAGCACCACATACAGGCCTGGCATGGATACTACTGCATGTTACACTGTTTTGGACAGATTGTTGAAAAGAAAAACTGCAGAAATGGCGTTTTGTTTTGGGGAATGTTTTTAGGAATAAAAGTTTATTTTAATAGAAAACAAAAAAACAAAAAACATGACCATATGGGAAAAGCCAATGTTTTAGATGTCCTTCTTATATTTAGTTCTAGAAATTTACCAAATCATCCAAATTGGACCATTTAAACAAGTATACATTTGATTATCAGTATATTTTCTTTGACTTCCTTCATTTCAGCCCCATCGTGTGACCAAGAGCATCAGTCTGCCCTGGAGGAGAAGCGGCTGCGTAACAATGATGCTGTTTTTGAACCGGACTGCGCCCACGGTGGACTCTACAAGCCGGTCCAATGCCACCCCTCCACTGGCTACTGCTGGTGTGTGTTGGTGGACACTGGGAGGCCCATACCAGGAACCTCAACCAGGTGGGCCACAAATAACATCAACTAATCAACATAAACATAAAAGCGTACTTTGAGGATATCCTCATTCATGCTCAATAATCCAGGTAGATAAATCAAACAAAGTCAGTTCAGGTCCTCTGGACCGTTTCTTTTGGTTGAAACGTTTCATCTTTCATGCTTCATCAGTCTGAGGAGCTGCAACAAACTCAGTTTTATAAATAGTACCTTCTCATAGTGGGTCAACCAGTTTGATGGTGCTCAGGTGGTTTCTGTAGTCCACCCTCTCCCCTGCTGACTCATTTGAGGCAGTCATGGCCAAAGTGGTTCAAAAACATCAAAGTTCATGCTCAATAATCCAAGTAGAAAAATCTAAAAGTTAAATCAGGACCTCTGGATGGTTTTTGCTGAAACATTAACTAAATAAAACCGGCATGATCAAAATGAGGTAATTTTGTCATGCACCTGCCACAATGAGAACAGTTCTCAACATCTTGCCAAATATAAAACAAGCTTAATTAACAATTACCAAGCAAATGCAATGACCCCTTGTCTGAAAGTTTTAAAGATTATCAGCAAACCTTGCAGAACAGGAAGTATCACATAAATGCATACATTAAGAAAAGCTAGAATTGTGGATCTTTCAACTTGTCCAATGTCAGCTTATGACCCAGTCACGCAGCAGCAACAGGGATATAATGTCTCTCCAAGGGGGGCAGTGAAAGCTTCCTTGTGTCCCACACTCTCAGTCTGCCTTACTCATCACACCCCTCTTTCTGTTCTCAGAAAAAACTCCAGCTCCTTCATCCATTCTGGAATAGTTTCACACCCACTGGTTTGTCACAAAAGAGTTATTGAAGCCCCTAAACTTTGACTATACGTGTTAGTTATCACCCACCACCAAAAAGATGGGGGATATTGTTTTCTCGTCCCTTTTAGCCAAATATCCCATGAACCTTTGGCTGAATTTTAAGGAAAGCTGCCGGAACTAATCATTGGATTCATATTCTCAACTAATTAAAGTTTGGGGTCAACCTGAACACCAACAATTCAGTCAGTTTTACAGATCTCCTTTCAGCTTTTCCCTCTTCAGGCATCTCCACAGCAAGTAATCCTCATTCTGTCCTCTGCATCCTCTGTCCTCACTCCAACTACCTCCATGTCCTCTCTGCATCCATATATCTCCTCTGTATTTTTCCTGGCAGCTGCATTTCTAACATCCTTCTACCAATATACCCACTGTCCCTCCTCTGGACATGTCCAAACCACTGTCCCTCCTCTGGACATGTCCAAACAACTGTCCCTCCTCTGGACATGTCCAAACCAGCTCAGTGTGTCCTCTCTAACTTTATATCCCAGTTGTTCAACCTGTGCTGTACCTCTGATGTTCTCATTCCTAATCTTCTCCATCCTTGTCTCTCCTAAGGAGAACCTCAACATCTTCATTTCTGCCACTTTCAGTTCTGTCTCCTGTCTTTTTGTCCATGTCTCTGTCTCCAGACCATACCACATAGCTGGTCTCACCACTGTCTTGTAAACTTTTCCTTTGACCATTGCTGTCACTCTTTTGACGCAAATCAGTCCTGAAATTTTCTCCATCCCCTCCATCCTACGTGGACTCTCTTTTTCACCTTTTTACCACATTCCCATTTTTCATGACAGTGGACCCCAAGCACTAGAAGTCCTGCACCTTTGTGACTTCTGTTCCTTGTAGTCTCGCTGTTACACCGGCCTCCCTCTCATTCACACATACATACTCTGTTTTAATACGACTGATTTTCGTTCGTCTTCTTTCAAGTGCATATCTCCACCTCCTTAAGTTATCTTCCACCTGTTCCCTGCTCTCACCACAGATAGTCATCTGCAAACATTATAGTCCACGGGGATTCCTGCCTGACCTCATCTGTTAGTTGGTCCATCACCAGAGCAAACAAGAAGGGGCTCAGAGCCGATCCTTGATGCACTCCCACCTCCACCTTGAAACTATCCGTCACTCCTACAGCACATCTCACCACTGTCCTCATACATGTCCTGTACCAGTCTAATATACTTTTCTGCCACTCCAGATTTCCTCATGCAACACCACACCTCCTCTCTTGGCACTCTGTCATATGCTTTTTCTAAATCCACAAAGACACAATGGAGTTCTTTCTGACCCTCTCTGTACTTCTCCATCAGCATTCTCAAAACAAAGATGGCATCAGTGGTGTTCTTTCTTGGCATGAAACCATACTGCTGCTCACAAATAGTCACCTCTTGTCGAAGTCTAGCTTCCACAACTTTCTCCTAGATCTTCAATGTGTGGCTCATCAACTTTATTCCCCTGTAGTCGCTACAACTCTGTACATCACCTACTGTATGTTCTTAAAAATGGGCACTAGCACACTTCTTCTCCATTCCTCAAGCATTTTCTCACTCTCAAATATGCCATTGAATATTTGAGTCAAAAACCTCACTGCCATCTCTCCAAGACATTTCCAAACCTCAACTGGTATGTCATCAGGTCCTACTGCCTTCCCCTTATTCATTCTTTTCAGAGCTTTCCAGACCTCAACCTCACTAATCTTTCCCACTTCCTGGTCCACAGTTTCTTTGACCTCTACTCTTCTTTCTCTTTCATTCTCTTCATTCATTAGCTCCTCAAAACACTCCTTCCATCTTCCCGTCACACTCTCCTCACTTGTTAGAACATTACCATTCCGATCTTTAACAAGTCTAACCAGCTGCACATCCTTTCCAACCTGATACCTCTGTCTCCCCAATCAGTACAAGTTCTTATCCCCCTTTTTAGTGCCCAACCTCTCATACAACTCATCATATGCCTTCTGCTTTGCCCTTGCTACCTCCCTCTTTGCTCTACGTCCCATCTCCTTATATTCCCGTCTCTCTTCAGTCCTCTCACTGTCATATTTCTTATTAGCTAACCTCTCTTTGAATAGCTTCCTACACTTCACTATTCCACCACCAGCTTTCCTTATCACCTTTTCTCTGTTCAGATGACACACAAAGTACCTTCATACCTGTCTCTCTAATTACTGTTGCTGTAGTAGTCCAGTCATTTGGAGGCTCTTTCTTACCACCCAGAGCCTTTAACAGCTCCTCTCTGAATTTTTCACAACATTCTTCCTTCTTCATCTTCCACCATTTGGTCTTCTTCTCTGATTTTACTATTTTTCTCTTCTTCACAACAACAGTCATTCTACACACAACCATCGGATGCTGTCCATCCATTCGATGCAGAGGCTCAATGGGATTTACCTGTCTAAATAAAGGTTGAATGAATGAATGTCTGGCCACGCTCTCCCCTGCCACAACCTTACAGTCCCCAATCTCCCTCAGGTTTCCTCTTTTACACAGAATGTAGTCGACCTGCGTACTCCTTCCTCTACTCTTATAGGTCACTCTATGTTCCTCCCCCTTTCAGAAATAGGTATTGACTATAGCCATTTCCATTCTCTTGGCAAAATCCACCACCGTTTGTCCTTCCTAGTTTCTTTCCTCGACACAAAACCCCCCACTCCATTTCTCTTTCTATCCACACTATGGTAAAACAGTTTGAACCCTGCTCCAATGCTGCGAGCCTTGCTGCCCTTCCTCTTGGTCTCTTGGACACATAAAACATCTACCTTCCTTTTCAGCATCATGTCAGCCAGCGCTCTACCTTTGCCTGTCATTGTCCCCACATTTAGAGTTGCAACCCTCAGTCATACATTCTTGACTTTCCTCTTCTGCCTCTGTCTCATGACACATTTCCCTCCTTGTGGTCTTGGACTAACAGTAGCACAATTTCTGTTGGCACCTTGTTTGACAAATGCACCAGTGGCAGTTCTTGTTCACCCGAGCCTCGAATGATCCAGTATGGGGTCACTTAGTTGAACTTGCATATTTGTTTGGCATAACAATCCAACAATGAACAGAACCACCAACTTAAACAACCCATCTAAACAAATACCATGAAAAAGTCCATTTCTGACCCAAGATTACCCAGAAGTCCCTGCGGCTCATACAGTTTCTTACGTTTAAGTACAACATGTAATTTCAAAGATTCACACTGAAATTGAACAGGAACCCATGGAAATTACTGTTTCTGTAAAATTTTATCATATAGACCTGTCACAATAATACATTTTGCAAGGCGATTAATTTTCTCAGAAATTACTGCAATGAATGATATTGTTTGAAATTTGACAATAATTAGTACTGTAATTTTCAATTTTAAGAAGAAATGTTGGTTATTTTTTGTGTATAGTACCTTTTTTACTACTAGATGGCAGTATAAGACTGTTTGAACCGAAGGATGGATAGTGAAGGAGCGAGCAGTGTGTCTCTAAGAAAAATGGGAGGGAGGCCCCTTGACGTGACATGGGCTGTCTCCTGTTTTTCTGTTCTCAAAATGACAGACGCTTGGTGTGGTTTGAGCTCTTTAGCATAGCATTTTTCGAACAAAGCTTTTAATAAAACAATCAGTAAACAAGTTCTCAGCTTGTTTTTGAAGAGAAAAACAACGTTTTACACGAAGGCACAGGTTTCAACCGTGAATTTTTGGAGCTTTGACAAGACGGAAGTTTTTTATCGAGGTCGGCCTGTTAGCTTAGCTCGTAGCTTAGCTTCTCAGCCTAGCTGCTTTTAACGATCCAAAAACGTGATTTTGGACGGTTAAAACAGATATTAAAAAGAAAAGAGAAAGGGCGGGGTCAGTGAAGAGCACCGGAGTCGAGCTTTTTGTCATCCAGTGTGCGATTCATTCATTTATTGCGACAGGCCTAGTAATGAAACCGAAGTACAACTGTAATATTGAAAATCATTAATATAAACCTTAATTTGGTATTTATCCTTTTTTTTTTTTTTAGAGCAACTACAATTTCAGTGTGGATTTTTGAATTTACAGAGTCAACACCAATCTTTACATTGTCAAATAAAAAAATGCTGTGCAAGGCCTTCCCGAAGGCTCAGAGCCTGGTGTTTTGGTCCCGCCCACTTTATCAGCGCCCTAATTAGGTAATTTTCTACTCAATTATTAAACATCCTCATTGTGGTGTTCTGGCTAAGTTCAGCCTTCTCTCCTGACAGTGAAGCCCTAACCAATGAAAGCTCCTTCAGTTTCTGCCTGGAGATGAAAATTTAAATAGAATTTGGTTGAATAACCAGATTTTCATGAATTAAAAAAATCCTCAACTGCAAAGTAGTTTACAAAAAAAAAGAAGAGAAATTAGCACAAACAAGAATAAAAATGGCATTGAAAATTCTTATATCAAATTAATATTAAATTAAAATTTGAAATGTATCTTTTCAGAAGTGCTAAATTCTTAGGCCTTCTCTGAAGGCCTTGAAGGGTTCGCCACTGGATCCTTTTGATTTTTACAAGGACAGTTTTGCTCATGTAGACATGGCCTTTTACCCGTTTTGACCTTTCCTACTTTTTTCACGTTTTTACTATGACAGGTACGAACAGCCAAAATGTGACGGTAACGCCAGAGCTGTTCCAGCCAAACCCAAGGACCATTATAGAAGCCGACATCTCCAAGGTTTGTCTCTAATGGCTGGATTTAGCCGCCATTTTTTTCTCCTCAGATGTTTTTGGCCTTCAACTGCTGCCATGCTTCCAAGGTAGTGATAACAGTGTGAGTGTGGAGGGGGGGGGGGGGTGCGTGGGTCATTAGCACTAATGGTCAAGGAAATGCTGGATAAAGACTTGACGCTTGCCAGATACTGCCCTTCACCGGTCAGCCAACACTGAGATGGGGACAGACGGGGAAGATTAATCTTTGGCTGATATTTGAGATGGAGGATGGTGGAATGAAAGTGCAGAGGAGAAGCAGCAGGGAGGTAAGGTGAGGATAATAGATAATAGGATGCCAGAGACGGGTAATGATAGTGGTGTAGATACTACACAGAGGGCAGAAGATCAGTAGTGGGGGATGGGAGTCATGGAGTGGGCTCAGTTACATGTGAGACGGCGCTCAAAGGATGTCCACAAAATAAACTAACACCTAAAGCTGCAGGTTTGAGCAGCATTTGCAAAAGTGTGACTGTGGATGGGTTTACCACGTTTTAATACGTGCTAATCAGATGTTAAAGGAAAAATCTGGTCCTTTTTGAAGTGATGTTCTGTCAAATACTCATGAGCTGTGACATCAGTCAGAGCACGGAGCATGGAGAAAAGTTCAGAAGCCTTCCTCCAAGGCTAGGCTAACGGCAGACCAACTGAAGGCCCAGTTTTTATTGATTCTCGTGTTTATAAGACAACTCTTACATCCCGTTGGGAAAGAACTCTATAATAACTACTGACAAGCGTTAAACATTTAATGCTTCTTCACAACCGAAAGAGCAAAAATTACAACCAAGCCAGCGTACATGTCTTACATCAGCTTCTTCTTTAGTGGACCATCTGCCTCCATTGCCCCCTCCCAGCATCCTCCTCTGTCTCACCAACCCGCCCATAAAACTCCTCTGTAGTCTTTCCTCTTCCCCTCTTTTAGAGCTCCAAATTCAACATCCTTTATTCACAATGTTCTCTGTCCCTCCTCTGCACAAGTCCATCAATCTGAGCTGTCCCTCTGATGGACTCATTTCTAACACTTCCCATTTTGGTTCCTCCCAAAGTGAAATCTGATCATCCCTGCCGCCTCCAGCTCTTTGTTTGCGACACCGTCTCCAAACCATCCATCGTAGCGTCTTGTAAACCGTCCCGCTCCCTCCTGCAGCTGTTCTTCTGTCTCGGATCGTCCGGACACTCGTCTCCCTTTGGCATGAAAGGCAGCGGGTGATGGGCATTCCTTTCAGTAATTCAATTCAAAAATACTTTATTAATCCCAAAGGTAAATTAAATGTTGTAACTCATCATCCTGGTTTCAGTAAAGAGTTGTTCTAGATGCTGATGGCTGTGTGCAGGAAGGATCTCTTGCAGCGGTCTGTCTTACAGCGCATCAGAAGAAACTGGTTGCAGATGGTGATCCGTCACTTGGACTTGGCATGTTTCTCGGTCTTCTTGGGCAGCAGGACCGTCTTAATATTGGGCAGAGCTACTCCCTGAGCGATGGGTTCTCCTCCCAGCAGCTTGTTGAGCTCCTCCTCGTTGTGGACACTCAGCTGCAGGTGCCAGGGGATGATCTCTGTCCTCCCATTGTCACGAGCCACGTTTCCCCACCAGCTCCAGGATTTTGGTGGCCAGGTACTCGAGTACCACTGCCAGGTAGATGGGAAAGCATCCACGGCTCCTCCTTTTCAACTCATTTGGGTTTTGGAGCTATAGTTGAAGCATTATTTGAGCTTTTGAGATATAATCAGCTTCTCCCAGTTGTAAAAAAAACACCTTGTTGTTATGGTGCAAGGCCTTTGATTAAATTAATCCTAAACCCTCACTGAACCTCATGTTTCTGGTTGAACTGGGGTTTGGTCAACACATTAATAACCCAGTAGACTCTGAACAGGGTTGCTTCTGTTCTGGTCTCGTCAGCGACTGTTTATGTAACCGTGCGCCCAGATGAAGCTTCGCTCTCTGCTCACGGGTGTTGCAACAGTTCTGTTTCTGCTCGAGCGTCACGAGCTCGAGACGAGCAGACCGATCGTGGACGAATCCTCGTTACAGCGACAAATCCTTTATCTTTGCTCATGTGAAGGAGAGCCATGTTTCTGATGGTAAAACGAGCCACACTCTTAGATCAAGATTATCTTGTATTCTTCATAATTAAATGTGTCAATGACTGTAAACATTGCTGGAGCACAAAATCAGAATTACAAATGTTGCTTTCACGTTGCTGCAGCCCAGTTGCTGTTGAAGAACCGGTGATGAGAGGTTTATAAGCTGCAAGGCGTGGAAGGAGCAACCCTCCTTGGAAGGGCAGGAGTGGAAAGTTGAGTGATGGGTTTGTTCGTCAGAGCGGGATCTTTGGGGCAGGCCTTACGAGCTGCGGCTCCGAGTGCTGACAGGGCTCTGGCCCATCTGGTTCCAAAGAAAAACACTGCTTCTTATTAGCAGTAACACACAGAAGTACACATGTAAATACACTCAGGCTGGCAAATGCTTCACAAACACATTTAAAGCTTTCTCAACTTGATTTACTTCTGGGACTTTTATAAAACAAGACGCCAACCTTTTGCTTCTGCAGACTTGACATGAACTGAAAATGGGTTCTGCATCTCCACAGACAGAGGCTGATTTGTTTCTCTCCCACAAGAAAAACCTGCGCTGCCAAGAAGGAAGGGACTAAACTACTACCTGATGGCTTCCCATTTGAATGGGCTGCAGACGCGCTCAGATTCCTGCAGCATTACGGAGGGGGTGGGTGCAAACCGTGAAAAACGCTGAGCCTCAGACCACTGCATCCCACAAAGTTAGAGACCAGATAAAAACTGTTCCTTTGGAGGGTACACATGTCTGAGTCTAGACTGGTTCACCACAAGAAGACCTGGAAGGCACCTTGTTTGGTCATTTGAGTCAAACGTCCTAATAAACTTTAAAGGGACAGTCCCGTCAATTTTCAGTCTTTCAGTCAAGAGTCTCAAGAAAGAGGCAAAGGTTTATCCAGGCTAGGCTAATGGCTAGTCAAATGACGGCTTGTTATGTTTTTAGCACTTTTCAGGTTTATAAAACGTTTTTTTCAACACTTCGCTTTTGCATGAGTTTGTCGCTGATTTGACGGGCGTATAGCGTGTCGAATGTCATACTCCTGTTAGTCCTTGAGGTTTATTGGTTCTATATATTTTGTCCTGCTTGGTGGCTTTGTTCCTTCCTAAATCAAGTGGTCTGGTAAGTGATTGAAACTGCAGTTGTCACAAGAGCTGAAAACACTGCGGCACTGTTCACTTATCCCATCGGCTGGCTGAGCGGAGTTAACCCATCGTTTACTGGTTGCTTGTGACGAAGGAAGAGTTTTAGGATGTGAACCTCCCCCCCCCCCTCGCCTCGGCGCTGACAGCTGAACTCGCCTCTGAAAGGTGGAGTAACGGCTGGGTGTTTACCTCAGCGCTGGTTGCCACCTGTTAGGGAGGCACAAAGTGTGCTATTATCTCCTGAACAGGAGAATCTGGTCCCTCAGGCCTGGGCCATAAAAAGAGCAGCAACCTGTGGAGAATGTCTTCTTCCTCTCCTCCTCAGGCACACTGAGGGAGAGAAGCCAGACTGAAGTCCAGGAATCCTCCGGGTCTCTGTAGCCTTCGGCTTTTCTACAACAAACATCTTAAAACTTTACGACCCAGCAGACAATTACTGTTATTAGGGTCATTTCTTCTGTGGATTGTAGGTTTTCTACCATTCTGTGTGCAGTAATGCTTCACCGCTTTGGTTTTTAATAAAACAAAGATTAATTTCATATTTGAGCCACCAGCTAATTGTGTTCCTCCTACGATGGCTCAGAGATGAATTGGGTTGTTTGAATTTTGGATTCGAGTCATTCCAAGAGTGCCTGTTAGCACAATATCTCATAGCCAACTGGACTAGTAATGAAACTTGATGCACACCTTGATTTGTTTCGGGAGTCAACCCAGGTTAAGATGGCCACCACAGCCCTGATTAAACACAAAAACAGCTACAACTTGTTCACTTGAACAGATGTTGAGCTAAAAATTATTGTGGTAGTAGCTGAGAGTCATTCACAACACACATTCAGTTACTTTTACAGATATTGAGCTAAAATCTGTTACAGTAGTAGCTGAGAATCATTCCTCTAGTTATTTAACTGTCAATAATGGTGTACCACAAGGCTCAGTGTTAGGACCAACTCTCTTTACAATCTACATAAGTAATGTTGGTCAGAACATTCCTGACGCATCCTTACATTTTTATGCAGACGATACAATTGTTTATTGTTGAGCTAAAACGGTTACTAAGGTTTTCCAGCTTCTACAATCTGTTCAACGTCAGTCAGATTTGTTCCGTCTGGTGCTAAATGCTGATAAAACCAAAGGGATGTTGTTTTCAAACAGGAAGTTGGTACCAGCAGTCCTTCCTCCTGTCTAATCTACGAATGGTGTTCCCATCGAGTTTGTGGTTTCTTACAAATACTTGGGAATCTTGGTCAGTGCACACCTTTTAAGCCTCATGTCAAAAACCTGATAAACTGAAATTAAAACTGGGTTTGTCAGAAATAGATACGGTCTAACTGAATGCCAGGAAACATCTTGTAGCTGCTACTTTCCTTCCCTCCATTGACTACAGTGACATCATTTACATGACTGCCCCTGCCAGAACCCTGCAGATGTTGGATGCTGCCTATCACAGTGCGCTAAGATTCATAACTGGTTGTAACTACTGTACCCACCACTGCACCCAGTATTCACTGGTTAACTGGTCATCTTTAACTTCACACAGATTCTCTCACTGGTACATTTTCATCTTTAAATCACTTCTTGGTCTGCTGCCTTCATACATCTTCTCGTACATGTCACATCGTCAGTGCAGCTACAGCGTGCGCTCTCAAGACATCATTACCTGCGGCGTCCCCTCGGTGCGGACTGAATTTGGCAAAAAGGCCTTTTCTTACTCCGCTCCCGTTTCCTGGAATATCTTGAAAAAACATCTGAAGCTGTCCACTTTGACCTCTCTAAGGGATTTTAAACATTTGATAAGTTCAACGCAAAAATCAATGCAGTCATGTTCCTGTTTTCAGTATTTTACCTCGTTTCAGAATGTAGCTCGATTTTATTTTGTTTTATACCAATTCTTTTATTTACTCTTTATTTTATATGCACTTCAAACAGCTTCAACTTCGGTCACTTCTCGAGATAAGTTTAAAACTCGGACATGACTGGCGGGCGATATGCATTCCTTCGAGGACATCTGCAGGCTTATGTGCTTTCCCTCCCCGCACATTGATTAGCCCTGCTGCAGTGGAAGCTTTCCAATTTGTTGCATTGCTTTTGACCATTGCTGTATGAAAACTCGGCACTTTGAATACTGCGTACTGTATGCTCTCAGACGCTCATGTTTGTGCGGTTTATTTTCCAGGCTGCCCCGGGGCAAAGAAAACAGAGTTCCTGACAAGTGTTCTTGACGCGCTGTCGACAGACATGGTGCATGCTGTCACAGATCCAGCATCTGCTGGAAGGTATGGCATTTGGAAGAAGTGGATGTGTTCATCTTTTAATTACTTGTGCACGTAAAGTGGGCTCAGTCTTTCACCACAACGGCACAAATGTAAAAACCGTGTGGTGAAGATAATCATCTACTAACCTCATGAACTGTCCCTTGACCTTCAGGATGGCCGAGCCGGACCCCAGTCACACCCTGGAGGAGAGGGTCGTCCACTGGTACTTCAGCCAGCTGGATAAAAACGCCAGCGGGGACATCGGAAAGGAGGAGATCAAGCCTTTCAAGCGCTTCCTGCGCAAAAAGTCCAAGCCAAAGAAGTGCGTTAAAAAGTTTGTGGAGTACTGCGACATCAGCAACAACAAGGCACTGTCTCTGCAGGAACTGATGGGCTGCCTGGGGGTGACCAAAGACGACGGTGGGCTCAGAAACACAGCCTAATGTTCAGTCTGGATGTGTATCTACATCAACTCCAAAAAGTTAAAAAAAACTTTCATCCACTTGTGTCTCACAGGCTCCAAACCAGGAGAAGACCTGCCTTCCAGTAAACTAGTGAGTACAGAAGCTGCATGAGAAACTGGTCTGTCTGAGAGGCTGTTTCTGGGGTTCAGCTTTATCATCATTGCACCATAGTACAATACACAGATTATGTCCATACAGTTGTCCAAAAGATGGACGGAGTGCACGTTGCTGCTGCTCGTAAGAGCGCAGATCCTTGTTCTTTAGACAGAAAAGGGGAAAGGTCATTAGGAAAGGATCTCAGCGGGACATGAGGGTTCTCCAGGACTCGGTCACTTGGTTGAGAATTGTTGAATCAATTGCGTTGAAAGTCCAGCAGACCAGATCCAGGTCAGTAATTTACGATTCGGAAGATGTGAAAATACAAGTTCTGTCACACAAGACAGAAGAAGAAAGCAGGAGGGAGACGGGAGGGGGAGCGGTGGCGCAGAGGTTAGAAGATGGGCCTGTGATCGGAAAGTCGCAGGTTCAACTCCCGGTACAGTCGACATCGAAATGTGGGTGGAAAAGGTGGAACACCCACACCTCCCTCCACCCTCATTCGCCCCACTCTGGGCCCTTGAGCAAGGCCCTTAACCCCCACCATGTGCTCCCTAAAAAAAAAAAAAAACAAGTCTCTCTTGAAAATGAGTTCTCGTGACTCAATGAGACTACCTGGATAAATAAAGGGTAGATGGAAAAACAAAATGTGAGCAGGAAGAAAAGCGTCCGTCTCGCTCGAGAGCGAGTGAGGGGAAAAAAAAAAGTGACTAAATAATCTAAATGTCAGATTCTTCTCTGCTGTCTGTGTTAGCCATTGTAGCAATGATCTGTTTACATGCAGGAAGTGATGTCACCCTTGGACATCACTTCCTGTTACTGTGCGTGCAAATATCTCAACAACTGTGCAGTTCAGCAGCTTGAAATTTATTTTGCAACAGGTTATCAATGTTGCCTTTCCAAAAATGCATTCGTATTTATTACAAAATGTTGACGTCAGCACTTGGACACTAGGTTCACAGAGGTATGGATGCTACGCACGTTGGCGTGTGTGGCTCGATTCTGACACTGCGCGATCAGAACCTGTGGATTAATGATCAGACGTCACTGTTTGGTCCAGTGTTTCCAGTTGATCGTGGCTCTTCCTGTTCTCTCCAGCGCGGCATCGCACTTCAGGAACAGAAGCAAACTCGAGTATCGATCCCACATCGTTAGCTTCATCTGTTGGTGTAAAATCTCAGTCGTCCAGGAAATGACAAATCTGAAAAAGGTTTTAATAGACAAAGCACCTGGACTATAGGTCACATACAAAATCAATCGGATCTGGTCTGCAGTGCGAATGTAGCCTATAAACGTATCAAAACGATTAAGCTCGTGTCCGTAAACTGTTTAAAACTAGACGTCGGACCAGAACCTGGAAGTTGAAGACTAAACAAGGCCAGCTTTGCCGTCTGTTCCCTAGAGATGACAGCTGTGAACGCTCTGAATCCTTTGAACAGCTCTTTGAAATGAAAGAGTATAAAAGCAGCTTTAAAAAAAAAATCTGTAGTAGTGTGGGCGTGGCCTAATTTAGAAACGTGCAGCCTAAGTTGTCAAAGTGCAAACACACCCGTGTGCATGTTTAACTGAAATCGCATGTTTTCCCTCTCAGAATCCTTCAAAGAAGCAAGGCTGAAGCTGACACCCCCCCCTCGCTCAAAGAATCTGCCCTACAACAACAGAAACCATAGTATTTGCACTTTGTACTTTAAAAAAAATGTAAATTCACTTTGTAGAAATGAGCTATTTAAACAAATTGCTGAATCTGTGAATGGTGTAGTTAGTGTTTTATGTCCTGACAACAACAACAAAAAAGATTAAAGCACATACAATGTATGTGAGGTTTGTGTGTCTGAAAAGTGTACCTTTAAAAGTTGTACAAGTTTTCATGTTTGCTGCAGCATCTTGCGCCCCAGGCCGTAGTTTGTCGTGTCAGTTTGTATAGTTTGCTCCACGGCTACGTTAACTTAGACGCTCACTTCTTTGACTTTGTAAAGCAGTCTGCAAGAATGTATTAATCATCGTGAAAAAGCCCAATATGTTCACATGTATTCATCTTTATTAGAAATAAAGAACTCTTAAACAGGTTTTGGGTCTTTCTTTTGTAAACAACAAAACAAAAAAAACAGAATTACTTCATCCCACCCTGTAAAATCTAGTAATTTGTCCATATTTTACTTGCTGTGCCTTTAATGAAACTTGTCAACACCGTCTTTAGGAGCCAAGTATTCGTCATGTCTTCCCATTTTAAAACCGTTTGCCAATTCCCTTGAGGCGACACCTTTAAATGGAAAAATATCAGTTTTTGCCAGATAGACACTTCATTCTCTGCAGGTTTTACAACTGGAGGCTGTTCTGTCACCCAGTGGGTGTGGAGGTAAACGTTACAAGATCCTTCTGAGAAACAGTTGGGACCATGTTTAGAATCTAAATTAAGACAGAAGGCAACGATTCGCCCCTTAAACGTAAAATTCCCAACGAAACACAAACATCACACGTTGAGATGTTGAGAAACTCTGAAATAATCAGGAGAACGTGAATCTGACGGCAGCAACACATCTTCAAAAGTTCAGCTCCACGAGAAGCATCTCCTCTGGTTTTAACATCTGTCTGTAAACATCCAGGACCTGAGGAGACCAGATGTTGGAGGTTTAGGACGACCTGAGAAGGCCAGATGTTGAAGGTTTAGGACGACCTGAGGAGGCCAGATGTTGAAGGTTTAGGAAGACCTGAGGAGACCACACATTGAAGGTTTAGGA